AAAAAAAAAAAAAAAAAAAAAAAAAAAAAAAAAAAAGTACAAGCTTCTACAAAATGCATCCTACAGTCATTGTTCTGTAACAGATGGGGAATTTGAGCAAAACTGTGCTGCTCCATTTTACCCAGAAAATTGGCTCCATCTTTGTATTGAAATAGTCCATAACACTTGAGACTTAGAAAAAATATGAAACCCTTGACGTTAATAGTTTTCATTTAAGGGGGAAAAATAAGAACCAAGACCTTTCATGTAAAGGTACAAGATCCCAATGATGAATGGAACTGTACTGTGTACCTAAAATGCACCAATAAAGAAAGACAAATAGTTTTCATCTTGTTGAAGGGCATGATGCCACTACAGTGACCTCAGCAAGAGTGTATACATCATATTTGATTACTGTTCAATTGTGATTCTAACTGCTGGTTCTTGTTTGCTGGCCATGCTTTCAATAAATATTTAAAAAGTACTACTTTAGTCACAATGACAATGTTGTCCTTCAAACTAAATGGGCCTCAGGAAGGGGAAAAAATTCTTGGGGGGAAATACTGCTGAAATCACAACTAAGTATCAGCTTACTGCTACAACTGCTACACAGAATACTTTCCCAATCTGTCCTGTACACAGCAATGGGTTATTTCTCAATCTGCTGAAACCAAGCTGTTTTTACTGAGGTGGGAGGGGAGGAAAGAGGACAATGGTAGATGAGACTGATCACAAACTGGAAAGGTCTTACCCTCTCTGAAAGTATCATCCAAGGGCTCGACCGTTCCAGTACCTGCATCCTCTGCTGATTTCTGAATGGCTTCTGCTAACTCTTGGTCTGCAATTTCCTCTGGCCGCACATCCTCTCGCCCCGTGCCATATGCCAAGCGGGCGCACTCTGGCAGCTCTCCCTCGGGAAGGAAGGTTGTCTGTGAGCCCGTGGTGCCAATCACCAGTACGTTTTTCTTGAGATCGATGGAACACTTAAAAGGAAGAAACCAAAGAAAAGTGATAGCAGATAAAATGCCACGCAGAAAATTATGAGCCCAAATTAAAAACCCCATTTACAAGGACCAACACAGACAGGGAGAGAGATGGATAAACAAAAAACAAAACAAACTACTTTAGTGAAAAGCATTGAAATTTAACTTGGGAGATACTACCAGTTATTTTTATGCTTTTTTCTTCTTCAAGTTTCATCTAAAAAATGAGTTGTTACTGGTATATTGCCAAGGCTGGCCTTAAACTTCTAGGATCAAGTGATCTTCCTACGCCATTACCCAAAATAGCTGGGGCAGGCCGGGCATGGGGGCACACACCTGTAATCCCAGCACTCGGGAGGCTGAGGCAGGAGGATTGCTATGAGTTTGAGACCAGTCTGGGCTACACAGTGAGTTCCAGGTCAGTCTCGACTACATAGTGAGACCCTGTCTCAAAAACAAAACAAAACAAAACAAGCTCGGGCTAAGTGCATATACTATTGCACCCAGTTTAGAATTCATTCGTTCTTTCACGTGACAGGTCGTGCTATACAGTTCAGGCTGGCCTTGAACTTGCAGTGATCCTCTTGCTTCAGTTTCCTGAGTGCTGGAACTGGCACAGACCACTGTGCCTTGCCTGGAATTCTTTAATATTCAAAGTTTATATCAGAAAAACCTTTATAGGATACAGTTTATATTTGTCTTAGCAGCCAGAGTCAATCATTTCTGACTATAAATATTCATTGTAGAAAACTTGGAAAGGTACCAGGCATAATTAGAAGCCCCACTTTTTAGGAATATACAAGTGATTTTTTTCTCATAAAGTTAAAACCATACTACTTATATAGTCTTATATTTGCTTCTTTTATACAGAACAACTTAAACTCTATACCAATAGTCTCAAAAGTGAAAAAAGTAAATGTTCAAGGCAACCTCTACAGAAGTATCCTTTATTTCATACATATGCTCTTCTTTTCTGTGTAGTTTTATATCTACTTAGTACAGAACAGAGTTGAGCACGGTGGTGCAATCCAAGTTACTCAGGAGGCTGAGGCTGAGGCAGAAGGATCTCAGGTTAGAGGCAGCCTGAGCAATTTAGTGACACTGCTTCAAAATAAAAAATGAAAAGGGGTGAGGATGTAGCTCTGTGGTAGACCCTTCTGGACCACACACTAGTTAAGCATTTCACCAGACCTACACCTCAGCTGAAATTTAGCATCTAAAAACAAAAAAAATGGTGACATAAGAGTAATGACTACGTATAAAAATCTACTGCAATGTATTTTTTTTCAGACAGTCTCACTATGTAGTTCAGAGTGGACTTGAACTCAGTATTACTGCACCATTTTTATTTCCCAATGGACACTAGCTCTTCAATGAAGTGTTAGCTCAGGGGCACCATGCCTGCCTCACAAGTGCAAGGTCCTGAATTCCATCTCCGGTACCTATCCCCAAGAAATACACACAATACAAGGTAATGTCTTTTCAAAGTGTTCCCTCATTACAAAAATAAACAAATAAAACCACTAACTCTCTACAACACACACACACACACACCTTCCTTAATAAAGAAGAAAGCTGACCTGTAACCCCAGCACTCAGGAGGCTGGGGCACGAGTGAGTTTGAGGCCAGCCCGGGCGACATAGTGAGCTCAAGACTGAACTATACAGCAAGGCGCTGTCTCAAAAAACCAAAAGAATTACTAAAGCCTTA